CCTGTTAGCCACGGCTTCTGGTTGGCCCGGACAGTGATGGTCTTTGTGACTGTTACATCATCAATGCACTTGGTGATGTAGGCAGTGACAGTCTCTGTGTACTCCTGGAGGTCTGTGGTGTTATTGTATGTGGCAGCCTGCTTAAACATATTCCAGTCAGTGGTGTTAAAACAGACTTGAAGAGCCTCTGACGACCCTTCCGGCCACACTTGTATCAGTTTGTGAACTGGTTTGGTGACTTTAACGAGTGGTCTGTATGCAGGCATTAGCATGACAGTGATGTGGTCTGAGGCACCGAGGTGGGGGAGGGGGAGGGCCTTGTAAGCTCCTCTCTGGGTGGTGTAAACAAAGTCCAGAGTGTTGTTTCCCCGTGTTGGAAAGTCTATGTGTTGGTGTATTTTTGGGTACACACTCTTTAAGTCTGCTATAGGTTAAGAGATTGAAGAATATGATGAATTTAAATGCATTTACAATGAAAAAATTACTTGTTCATGAAAGAGGACCAATAAAAGAAATGATCTTGCTTTATCAGTGCAGTCACAGAAGTGAAACTTGTTATATACTGCGATAGAGACTCGAACATATAAGGTCACATAGTCATTTTTAAAGCATTATCTATCGATTCTACAGCTTATTTATATTACATACGATCTGTATATATTAACATTCATTTAAAATAAATGATTTATAATAACTGTTAAACTAAAATTGCTTGTGTGTAATGGATTAATAATAATATGAATCATATAATTATATAAATCATAAAACAACTCGAAGTAATTATCATTAAAGCAGACCATTTTTTTTAGTACTAGTGACCTTTAATTTGGAGCAAGATAAACTGGGGGAGTGACTTTTTTTTGTGTCAGACATGTGTCACTTTGCTCACATCTGATTGGTCCAATTGAGATCTCTAACTCAGAACATAACCTGCCCCAGAGCAGGTTAGTCGTGGAGTGTAAGTTACTAAGGCAATGAACGCAGCTAAAAGCCAAGCCACTTTCATGGTACCTAAAACCCAGGATTGGTGCAACTGCAAACTAAACTGAAACTTACCTGGCTAGCCAGTTAATCCAGCTTCATAGTACAGGCCCCTGGTCTCTGTGGGGATGATGAAGGAAACACTGGGTTTGTGAGAGTGGGTGAGTTAGAGAGAGCTGATTTATTCAAGATATAATACTAAGATAACAATAAGATATACTACTTTTAAAATCCACTTGAATTGTCTTGTGCATTAAAATTATAATATAATATAATATAATAAGAAATAAACAAAAACAAAAATAATCATTATAATTATATTAC